AGGTCCTCCAAGCTGCTGCCCACAGAGGAGGCCTGAAGGAGGGCATTCATTTGACTCAAGTGAGAACATGCACCCGGCTTCCCAGTGAATCTTTTCGTCATCCTGGCAAAGCCTGTTTGCCAGCCACTGCCTCCCCATTTTCACACCTTGCTGTGCTGGGGGAAAGGAGGGCCTGGGGCCACCTCTGTCACGGTCAGTACAGCCAGGGCTGTTCATCTGGAACTGCTGTTCACAGGAAAACTCCCTGCGTCTACGTGAGATGCTGGAACACTGGCCACCCTGTGTTGACAGGTCTCTCCTCCTTCACGAGTTTGGGGTCTGAGCAAACCGCCCACTAGTGCAATGCCCAGGAGGGCCACAGAGCCTGCCCTCCCGCGTGTGTGGGCGCAGAGCCCTGGGCAAGCTGACCTCCGTGCTCTCTGGACTGGTCCCCCTGCCTCAGCACAGCACCAGGGGCTGGGGACCAGGGGCACTTGGAGAGGGCCCAGTTCCCACAGGAACTTGCCCCCAGTCCTGCCCATCAAGACCTCTTGGACAAACTGAGTTCACTGTCACCACGGCCCCTCGGAAGCCTCCTCTGCTCACTTGCCTCCCTTCCCTGGGCTCCTCAGGACCCCGGGGCACCTCCCACTTCCCCACCTTCCCCAGAAGCTGACGGAGTCTGCTGGGGCCCCTGAATGTGAGTGGGCCCCTTTCCTCTCCAATGCAGTCCCCTGGCAGCCAGGGTATCACCCCTGGATGTGAAGGCGTCAGCATCGTTTACAGCGAACCCAAGGCTCCTCACTCCCTGTAGTGGCCAGGTCGTTCCACAGCCACTCTTGGCCTCCCAGCCTGGCCGCACCCCACCCTGCTCGCCTGCATGATGCCCAGTCTCCTCGCCAGCCCCTGGGGCTCTGCATCAGCAGCAGGGCGGGCTCTGGGCACATGGGACAGCAGAGCTCTTCACAACGTGGCCCCAACTTCCTTCGTGCTCACCTCTGGCCGTTCTCGCACTTGTTGGTCTCCAGGTCAGCCTGGACCTTTACTAACCCGCACAATCTTGCACAAATCACCTTTCTGCCACCTCCCCATCTGCCTGCACCACGAACTCGTACCCATCCTTCAAGGCCCATCTCTGCAAGGCCCTCCCTCACTGTCCTGGCAGAGTTCTGCTCCCTTCTCCCTGAGAGTTTAGGTTGTAGGCCTCTCTGGTTTGGGCACTTGGTGCATCTCACACGCTTTGGTCTGAGGGTTTGCTTCCTGCCTTCCGGTGTGGGGGGCCGTCCCATAGCACACTCGTTTCAGTGTGCTCAGCGCCTACTGCCACACCGCGGCTCTGCACGTTTGATGAGTGAATGAGTGAACGAACGCACGTGTTTGGTTACTGAATGAGGGAACGAGCGACCGGGCCAGACCTGGTACCAGCCACGCCTCCCCACGCCTTGAACTGCCCCGATGCCTGGACCACTAGCTGGGCTCCCCATGGTCCTGGCTCTTGCTGCCTGGGTCCCGTTAGGGCCCGGGCCGCCCCCTCCCCTTGGGGATAAAGGCCCCCTTGTCAAGTTGCAGTGTCAATGCAAGCAAATCGAACTCGCTGGGATTCAAATGACTTATTCAAACCAGTTGTTTATTACTCCCCGAAAGCAGGGGACGATCCAGCCTTGACTCTGCTCAGTCAGGCGGAACTGAGAAAAAAAATAGCCCCACGTTTGCATTTATGGAAATGATGGATACTCTGGCAAGGTTATTACCTGAGAGCTGCAACTCCCCCGGGGTTTGCCTACATTTCCATGTGGGTGTGGGCAGTGCAGAGTGGGGTGAGCCTGGCCAGGGAGGCAGAGTCCCCAGGTCTTTGGAAACGGCCAGGGTGCCTCAGCAGCCGGGGGAGGGGAACCCCCACCCTAGGGCCCTCGGAAGGAGATGAGGCCTTCTCCTTACCGTTGAAGTTTCTCTGCCGAGGCGGCTAAGTGGCCCTGGGTTTCCGGGGAGCATTTCCATCTGAGCCTCCGGGGTGCTGGGAGCTCGCTCACAGAATCAGCTCGGATCAGCTTCTTGCCACCTGCCATCCTGTGGGCAGAGAGGTCACCTCCTGAGGCCCCATGTGCTGGAGGGGGTGCGGCCATGTGGCCTCGCCCTCAGTGGCCCTCTCGGCTGCTGGTGTGTGCAGCAGGGGGCTTTGGGGGATGAGCCGCCACTGAGCCACTGAGCAGATGAGTAAACCGAGGTGCAGAGGGGCCGCCCACGATAGTAGGAAGGGGCAGAGCAGGAAGGGTCCAGTTCCTCCTGACTCTAAATCGATGATTTGCTTCCATTTTTCCCTGCTAGACCACGTTACACCGTCACACTTATGTAAGACTTGGAGACCTGCGTAAGCAAGCTGCGCTGTTCTGTCTACAGGGTGTTTGGCTTTCAGTGTTCCTCGGGAGTTTTGTGGCTGAGGTTGGGGACCCAGGTGCAGGGAGAAGATCCCAGGAGAGAATGACAGCAAACAGAAGGAGGGCTGTGTGGTGAGGGACAGAGGCACCCTCACCCTGGCAGCTGGGGAGCTGGGGAGTGACTCAGCCGGGAGCTGGAGGCAGCGCAGATGAGGACCCCCCCTCTACACTGGGTGCTTTGACAGCCCAGCCCTGACTCAGGACAAGCAGGGGTTTCTGAGAACATCCCGGATGGCCTGGTCTGTGCCTGCCACTCCTGGGCCATGTGTATGAAGTCTCCCTCCAGCTGCTTTGCTCAGATCCCCTCCTGACCCACAGTCTCCCAACCCACCCCCGGCCCCAGGGACCCCCACACGTTTGGCCCCCTGCTGCTGCGAGGGAGTGCCCCCCCCACTCACACACTCACATGTGCTGGAGCAGGTGTTCAGTGCACTGTACCAGCACGATGCCATCGAAGGGAGAGTGCTCGCACACCACGCCGCAGGTGCCGTCTCGGCTCACCACGAACTGTGGGGAGGAGTGCCCCCACACACACACTCACATGTGCTGGAGCAGGTGTTCAGGCCCCCTGCTGCTGCGAGGGAGTGCCCCCCCCACTCACACACTCACATGTGCTGGAGCAGGTGTTCAGTGCACTGTACCAGCACGATGCCATCGAAGGGAGAGTGCTCGCACACCACGCCGCAGGTGCCGTCTCGGCTCACCACGAACTGTGGGGAGAAGGCGGAAGCGGGCTCTGGCTCCGGACAGTCAGCGTTTCACACCAGCCCCTGATGCAGCCCGGCCCTGGCCCCCCAGGGGCATCTCTTTTCTAGAGGCACCCCGTGTTTGCAGACGAGACTGCAGTGGCCTGAGAACCGGAGCATCTCTGACAGCACTAACCTGTGCAACCGCCCTCCTGGAAGGAGCCTGTGCTGAGCAGGCGGAGCCCCGGTCCCTGATCCAACAGGGCGGCAGTCCCTACCCGGCTCAGGCCTGGTCTGTGGGCCCTCCGTAGGGCGGGGCAGGACCCCTTGGCTTCCCGCAGTCCCTTCCCCCCCCCCCGCCCATATGCAGGCCTCTGTCTGTTGGACCTTGCTTGTTTGGGCCACCATTGCATTATTTCCGGGATCCAGACCAGGGTCCACCCCACAGTAGGTGCTTAGCAATCCTGTCGAGTGAGCAAACGGAGAGCAATGGCCTGACTCGGGTGGCAAGCAGATTCCCAGGGAGACATGGCAGTCCTTGGAGGAGTGGAGGAAGGTGTGGAGGGTGCTCCGCTCTCTGGGGCTGGACTTCGGGACCGGATACTCGCCCTAGGCAGCTCGGAGAGTGACCCTGGACTGGAGTCTGTTCTCGCCCAAAATGGGTCCAGGGAGGGCCCCACAGCGTCTGGGCATGCTGCACCTGTTATCCCTGGGGCTCGGAGGCCAAAACAGGAGGATCATGAGTTTGAGGCTGACCTGGGCAACGAGTGAGACCCTGCCTGAAGCAGCTGGGCTTCGGGGTGTGCGCCTGTGGGCCCCGTTACTCATGACGGAGAGCCTTTGTCTTTACAAAGACAAGAATTAAAACGGGTCCACGACTGAGCCGCGGGCCAGAGAGGGTGTACGGGGCCACTGGAGCTGCAAGGTTACTTACGACTTTCTAAAGTGGCTTTCAAAGACTGTGTTTAGCTGACCTGGAAGAGAATACTCTGTTCCCGAAAGGACTGGGAGGAAATAAGAACACCAGGGGCTGGTTCTCGAAGTGTAACCAGGGTGAAGCAGGGCTGCCTCATGGCCTGCCCGAGCCTCGCGGCCTGCCTTGCTCAAGAGGTTCTTGTTCTGATCCAAAAACCAACAGACTCAGCCCTGCAGACTCCTCCCTCCCCCAGAGCCCCTGTCTCTCAGTCCTGAGGTGGGCCCGGCCCTCTGCCTTCTCGAAGCCAGGTCTGTGAGCCTCCCCCACTTCTCTGGCTCCCCTGGCAGTCTGCCCTGCTGAGGAAAGGAGCCTGGAGGTCAGCACAGACCCCTGCCCCCTGGAAGGCGGGGGGGCGGGGGGGCTGTGCCACTCCCACGTTACGGCTTTTCTGCCACCCAGTGTCTCAACGACCACTCCCAAGGCTTCTGTGCTGCAGGCCCGAGTGTCCCTGTGACTTCAATCCCACAGCCATTAGCACCGCGAGGCTCCAGCAGCCAGAGGAGTCATCAGCAATAACAGAAGCAGTATCCGGCTCAACAGGAGAGCGGAGAGAGACAGAGACCTGCAGAATGTGGGGCGGGGAGACGCGTGAGCTCCCCTGACCCGGAGAGGGAGGCGGTTTGCCTGCTGGTGTGTACGGTCCTTGTGACAGTGTGGTGGCTTTAAATGTAAACCATGTTAGATTCAGGACTGGCTTTTGGCAGAGAGGATGGAGAGTCGGCAGCAAGTGCCCGACCTCGACTTCACACCCCCCTGGGTGACTGTTTTTCTCTAGGCTCCAGTAAGTGCCTGTTTGCAGGCTGATATGTGAGTGGCATTATTTTATTTCATTTCCTGATTTTCTTCTGCTGGGCTGCCCTTCTTCCCAGGGCTAATGAAGGGCGTTGCAATGGCAGGACTGGGTGGGGACATGCAGAAAGCCGGCATCTCTGGGCCGCGTGTGTTGCAGATTCCTTCCGGGGGGCAGTGCACTCTACCACCCGGCAGGCTCACCTTGCAGGGAGTGACGGGAGATGGGGAATGAGCCCAGGCCTGCCCCAGACCTCCATGGCACAGACTCCAGAAATCTTCGGGAGTTTGGGCCACTCGCTCCGAAGAAGAGTTCTGGCCAGCCCAGGGACCGATGCCAAGGCCGCATCTCACCCCCACGTCTCCCCCGACCCAGCAGATCCAGCGTCCCAGGCAGCAGAGCCCAGCGGGCGGCGCCTGCCGGGCTGGCGCACATGCGCGGGCTCCCCCACTCGGCCTGGCCATGCTCTGGGGGGCCGCTGAGGGCCGCTTACCTGCAGGGACTTGTCGTACCAGCGGTTGGCCCCGTTCCTGCCGCAGCCCCCGCCGTGGAGGAGCTGGAGCGCCCTGTTGGTGTCGCTGGGCTCCACGCCGCCGGGGCCGTCCAGGCACACCAGACAGAGGCAGCGCTCGATCATGTCCAGCGAGTCCCGGTTGGTGGAGTCTGCGGGCGCGAAGCAGGGCCTTAGAGCGTGTCCTGTCCCCCACGGGGTCCCTCCCCAGAGCCCACACACTGTAGGCAGCTCTGTCCTCGGGGAACACACACTGAGACCCCGATCTTGAGTCAGCTCCGGCCCCCCACCCTGCACAACCATGGGTGGGCAGCGAAGGCCAGTCGACTGCCCTGAGCCGACATCCCACCCAGGGCCCAGCTCACTCTCGGGGCCTGTGACAGTTCTGCTCTTCAGCTGCCTACAGTCCTGCCACTGGACCTGCAGGTTGCTGGTCTGACCTGCCAGGATGAACTTAGACCCTCAGGCCAGCCCACGCCGGGGAGGCCCGCCCCCACCAGCAGCACGCTCCACGCTCACCACAGCCATGTGTGTGCATAGACAGGCTTATCTGTCCTCAACTGTGATGTCCAGACAGTTAAATGGTGGGGATTTGGAAATCGGACCATTTCGGTGACCACTTGAAGAAGGGGTGTTGCTCGCCTCCTGGCCAGGCTGCCCTTAACCCACATGTGGGTGATTTCGCTGGGACTATTTCAAGTGTATGGAACTCGAGGTGAGCTCGCTGGGACTATTTCAAGTGTATGGAACTCGTCAGGACAAATAGACAAGAAGCCACAGAGGCACGTGGGGGCTGGTCACCAAGGGAGCCAGGGCCTGACCCCCACGTCCTGGACTCCTAGACCTTCCCCTGCGGGAGAGCCCTGAGAGCCGTGCAACCCCAGAGCTTGAGGAACAGACAGGGACAGTGCCTAGGAGGGGGTCATGCAGAGGGGACCATGCTTTCCTCAGGGGACACTCAGGAGGTGCGTCGTCCCCCACAGGTGCAGGGAGATGGGGAAGGCTGCTGTGTGGCCTGGTCATGACCACAGCAGCTGCTGCCCTTGGCTTCCTCCGAACAGGAGTCTCCATCCCGCTGGTGGCCCTCCCTCCAAGTCCCAGGCAGGCTATGCCGGTGGATAAAGTAGCTTTTGATGTAAAGTTCACTGCAACTTACAAAGTCCACCAAAACTAAAGATCAAAGCTTCGATTTAAATTCTAGGGAGCCACATCGGGACAGTGGTGGACCTCTGGGCTGGGCACTGTGACAGACGAGACTCAGGCTGACCCCCGGCCATAGGGCATCTTCCTTGGAGGCCAAGGACGTTCTGCAGCAGAGCTGCAGGCTGCAGGCTGCAGGGTCTTCCTCCCTGTTCTCAGAGAACCCTTGTCTTTAGCTTTGGCATATTTCCCTGCCTCCCCGTAGCTAGGGGTAGCCACGGCACTAGACACACTGCATGCTACTTCAGGGGACCTCCTTAAAGATAACTAGCATATGCTCTTTGCCCTTCTTCCACTGTCCATCCTGCTGCCTGGAACCTGGGTGTAAAGGCTGGAGCTCTTGCCTCCATTTTGCCTTCCTTGGGCACATGGAGAGCTCCTTTCTCCCACGATGGTTGGTTGGTCCGCAAGACCTCCCTGTGAGTACCTTCATGTGGCCCCCTGTGCTGGCCCCTGCTCTGCCCCAGTTCTTTCTCCAGGTTCATGACAGGTGTCTGCAGGCATCATTATATGAAAGGGGTCTCCAGTCCCCACACATCCTCTTCCTCTTCCTTTTTGCTAATCTTGGGGGAAGCTGTCTCCCTAGCATGACTTCCACTCTGAGACGCTGGTCCACGCTCAGGACACCCATTCCACCTTCCCGTCCAGGATGAGCCTTGGCGAGCCCTGGGCTTTCAGGAGCTCTCTTGGTCCCTGGGGCCAGGATACCTCATCCTTTCTGCATGGCCTCTTGGGCTGCCCCTCCCTATGCCCTGCGTGGACCTGATGGCCCACCTCCTGCCACTCCTTCATTCCCGTGCTTACTGGGACACGCACTGTGGTGCAGGGGGCTCCCCAGCAGAGAACCAGCCTCTCTCCTACTCTGCCTGCCAACGCCTGCTGGTAAAACCCTCCCCAGGCGCCTGATTCCTCTAGCAGTGCCAGCCCTGCCCTGGAAGATCCTGACACCTAGGGCATGCCGTCTCCGCAGCCTGCCCTGTGCAGACCGGAAACTCCAGTTCCCCGGGCATCTGTGCCCTAGCCACCTCCAGGCAGAGGTGGGGGTCCCCACAGAGGGGCTGGGCCTCACATCGCATGCAGCCTGCTGAGGGCCCGGGAGCTCAGTGCCACCCAACACGAACCAGGTCCTGGCTCATTAGACAAAGTGAGATGGAAGCAGAGCTGCGAGCCGAGAAGCCAGGTGGCCTTGCAAATAGCTCCCTGCGCATGGAGGCTGATCGCTCACATGCTGACAAGTTTATCGTGGAGGGCAGAAAATGAACGACACCTAAACGCACCCACCATGACTCGGGCCCAAACCTAATGGGAACAGGAGGCAGTGGGCTGGAGGCACACGGCAGGGGCCGTTTGTCTTGTGGCATCCTCACAGAGCACACCGAGGCTGGCTTAATGGGGGAGATCAATCTTTCTCAAGGAGCCCCTGCTTAATAGTGAGAGGTGGGAGTAGAGGAACGGAGGAGCCTGCTCCGACACCCACGCCTGCAGAGTCACTAGCTTCAGCGGTATGGAAATTGCAGTGGCCGCGAGGCCCTGAGGAGCCCCCAGGCTGCTGTTAGAGGCTGTGCTTACGGACCGACTCAGGTGAACACAGCAAACCGAGCACCTAGTACCTCTGTCTCTAAAGGGTGCAGGACTCTCAGGTGCTACCCAACACACACACCTGTGCGTAAGCACACACAGACGTATGAGGCCCCCCTGGAATGCCTGTGCTCTGATCTGTCCTCTGGGAAGCTGGCACAAGGCACTTCCATACTGTCCCACCCGTTCTCCTTCACACGGTTCAGGGAGATGGAGGCCCTGGGCTCCTCCAAGGCTCAGAGCGTCTGAAATTTTGCCAGCCCCATCTGAGCACCCTCCCTCTCCAGACGAAGGGCTTGTATCTCCTCTAGAGGGTCATCCCCCATCACGTGGCCCGTTTCCCCCGCTCTGTGGCCTATGGTGGTCTTTATGGTCCCAGGCCCCAGACACTATGAGAATTCCAAAAGCATCTCATCCCTGTGAACCCGGCTCTCACAATCGAACTGCGCTGAGTCACCAAGGCCTCTTTGAAGGGCTCCAAAGGGAGGGGCTTCTGCTTCCGGGTGACGAAGTAGACTTCCCCTGCTCCTCTCCCTAAAAACCCTGGATGTTATATTTAAACCCCAAACAAGAAAACCCTGAAAGATGGAGGAGGAGGGGAGACCAGCTCAAGGAATGACAGGGTGGCAGGTTCTCTGGTGTTAGGGACTGTGTGTCCCCAGCACATTCATATCAAAGTCGTAATCCATGTGATGGTATTTGGAGACAAGGTCTTGAAAGCTTATAATTAAAGTGAAAGGAAGTTATAAGGGTGAGACCCCGATACGAAGGGCTGGTGTCCTAGGAAAAGCGCCCAGAGATGTGTGCACGGAGAACAGCCCACGTTAGGACACCTAGAAGGCGGTCTCTGCAAGCCAAGCAGAGGGGCCTCAGGAGAAACCAACCCTGCCCACGCCTGGGCTCAGCCTCCAGCCTCCAGACCTGAGAGGCATAAACGTCCACCGTGTAAGCCACCAGTCCGCGGTGTTCTATTGTGGCAGAGCAAATACAAATACAAAACAAACACACTGGGCATTCTTTTTTCTCCCCCTAGAATGTCCCGCCCTAGATACTGAAGTAGCCAGCAACACAATAACACAAATGAGTATCAACGAAACAACAGGAGCAGTGGCAAAAGCCTGCTCTCTCTGGCCAGATGACCAGGGGAGGGGAAGACTAGCAAGACAGAGAACTTTTAGACACTAACCCAGACACCACAGGAAGAAAATGTCACCCCGCCACCACCCCCAC